CCTCTCTCATCTTTTTAAGTGGGAGAACTTGCACAATTGGTGGCTGACTAAATACTTTTTTGCCCCACTGTATGTCCAAGGATGTTAAGCCAATATGGTGGTTGTGACCGCACAATTGAAGCCTTACCTCAAAATGGGACTTTGATTGCATGGTTGCAAAACCCTCTTGACTTTTTTGACTCTCCCCCCTCCACCCCGGGACACTCCTGCCTGTGATTCTCCAGGGGTTAAGATTCTATAAACTAAGGGTTATTCTACAAATACACACACACACCCAAGAGAAAAGCCAAGGATGCAGAGAGTAAGATTACACAGGTAACACGAATAACTCACCATTGCATCAAGCCAAAGGGATCGATCATACAAAAATGCCAGGACTTTCCAGTTTTGTCTTATGGCTTGTAACAGCCATTGACAAATTACTGTAGCACACAGTGCATGAGAAGCATCTGTCCAGTCACATGCATCATTTGGCAGATTTTGGAAATGTTAATCATAATATAGTGGAGAGGGCAAGAGAACACAGGATGTTAGCATTAGGTCTGGAAAGATCAAAGGGAAGAATGGAGAATGACAACGTCCCTTGATCTTGACACTATTTCTAGGTCTGCATTTTTGTGGTTGTTTTGCAACTGCATCACACTCTTGGCTCACGTTCAGCTTGGGAACCACAGCAGAAGCATAAAAACTACACTGATCACCCCAACAGAACTTTACAAAGGTCACTCATAAATGTGAGTTTAGCAAGACGTGTTATTTCTCTAAATAATAGTAACAGCGACTAAACCCAAATCCTTGTACTATTTGGTGCCTCAGCTGAGAATCTTACAGAGAGTTTGCGTTTGACGTGAGATTTTTCTTTGTTGCTCATTGCTTATTTCAGCCAATCTGGTTAAAATTTTGTCTCTTGTTAGTTGTTCAGTTGCAGTTAAATTATGCAATTCTTGCTTATATATTCTCATCTTATTGCCATTTTCACAGCATTATCTTGAGACCCTGTATCATATTCTGTCTGTGAGCCGAGAAGATTCTAACAGCCACATTACTCTATTAATTTCCTTTACATTCATCCTAATGCTGAGTGGATTGTGTGCTGCTCAAATTAATACAACTTCAGAGTCATATTATCCGTATTTTCTAGCTCTGAGAGCGTGCAAAAATTCTTCTTCCCTTTCTGGACAAATCCTACTTGTTGGGTAACAAATTCAAAATGAAGTTGCTACTCCAAAATTAGGATGGGGGGCTGCAGTGGACATGTGAAAAACAGGCCATTTTTCACTTCGGCTTGTACAACAGCTTTATTTTGTGTTCCAGTGATCAGCTGTGCACTTTGGAAAGTCTAACCCAGCCTTGAGGAAGGTATCTCATAGACACTTCTCTAGATTAGGGAAGCCAAATACTGTGGGATGACAAACACCAGGGAATCATTGCACGGGAGGCTCAGGTTCAAACTATTCATGCTGAAAGCTCCAGTAACTGAGAATGAGGCATTCTGTGCCGTGAAAAACATTATAGAGATGATCATTTTTCATGTGCTTGCATGTACTATCAGCTGCCTCACATCCATCTATGTCAGATATCTAGAGTTATCTAAGCAGTTGGATCATTTCAGTTGCAGAAAACCTTGTCTCATAAGCTCAAGTAATGATATAATCTCTCTCACAAAATTAATCAATATGCTCCATTTCCTTTGTCACGGGAAACTCCCAAATAAGAGGTGGTTTTGAGCTTTGCTCAAATTACAGGATTGGGAAAATTAATTAAATCTTCCTACCCAGGGGCTGCATGCTCCCCAGTTCTCTCTCACCTATCTCAGCTGAACCCACGAGATTCAAATCATAGGCAAGAACATTTGTTCTGAAGAAAAATACTGTTAAAATAAATGGCTCTGGATGATTCATGCATGCAAGTCAAAAATGCATTGCAAAAGATAATAATGGATTACCTGAAGTTTCTGTGCCAGAGGCTTCTTTGTCTAGCTCTTCAAAACCTTCCCCAGTAATTTACAGAACTTAAAAAGAAGTTACATAAAAAAGATGTGATGACATACAGTAAACTAAAGATTGCAGCGTAGCATTTAATACCTGCTCTGCTAACAGCCAGCCAGACTGCACTCTGTGCAAGAGGAGCTCACTGAAATTTATGCCACACTCCTCTAACAGGTGCTGATGATTAGCTGAATGCAAAAGCAGCTCATAGGAGGCCAAAACATAATTAGTTCAGATAGTACTTTTAAATCAAAGAACAAAGTGTTTGCTTGTTCCATTGATTTGTTCTTAACTAATTCACTGAACTGAGTAACACAGCAAAAGGACCAAAAACAATTCGTGTTCTACATGACTGTAAATCTTTTTAACATTTCAAACAACCTTTCCATAGGTGCTTTTCCCCCGGGATTACACTATTCATCTTGAATTTTAGTGTCTTAAAATTTGTGTTTCAGATTTTATTCCTATCTGTTTAGGCTTTCATCTTTAACGCATATCTAACATACAGGGGTTTTTCTCCCATAAGGCATGGATTAACGATGGCTATCTGCAACATGGTTATCCAGAAATAGTCTTCTGGGGTTTCTTTCCTGAGAACAACAGTGAAAAGCCATCAGCCCCAGAAGCGCCTGCCGACTTCCCAAACACTATTCTTGCTGTCAGTCAATCCAGTAAGAAGAGTCTAGGACCACAGACAGCCTGTCTTATCCAGCAGGAACTGTCAGTTACCACTCAGCTAATTCAAGGACAAAAACAGGGTTTTGCTGGAATGATCTTTAACATCCGTTAAATTAGTTCTTTAATTACTTCTCAAATTGTTTAATTGTACTATCAGTTCTATTATCTTTAAGATCAATTCAAAAGGAGGGTGAAAAATGAAAACAAAAATATTTAAAAATAAACATTTAATTTCAAGCCTGAAAATGGCTACAGATATATTTCAATGGCTGTTGTAAATATAGAAACCAGACCTCTAATTGTACATAAAAACCTACAATACCAAGAAGTAAATGTATCTTAAGAGGCTCTTTTTTCCTTCATGGCTTGTCTTACAAGCTCCATGTCTTTCTGTAACAACTGCTTTAAAATCTGTTTATTTCGCCTTTCAGGATTTCCACAGAAAACACTCTTTATGGCATCAAGGACTTCCATTGATCTTTCAACAATATCCTTAGCCACCTTTTTATGTGGTGAATTCTCTGCATATTCAGTTAATTGGGGACTAAAGCCATATAACAAATTAATAAATGCTTTTAATTTCCCCATTTCTGTTTGCGTATCTTCTGCTTTCTCTTCCAGAGACTCAGATGGAGTCAAAAGGATGTCCACCTCTGTTACAGGTACAGCTGTTGATGCAGAAGGAAGTATTTCTAACTCCACCTCTGTGACAGGTGGAGTTGCTGATGCAGAAGGAAGTATTTCTAACTCCACCTCTGTGACAGGTGGAGTTGCTGATGGGGAAGGCGTTATCTCTACATCCAGCTTCACTTCTGTCCCAGCTGCTTCTGATAGGAAGGCAGGCAGCTCTAAGTCCAACTTCATTTCTGTTATAGGCGGAGCTGTTGATGGGGGATGAAGAAGCCCAATGTCAAGTTTCATCTGCTGTTCCTTCTTCTGCAAGAGCTTCCTCTCTGCCTCTCCTGCTAATTCCAGAGCATTTTTTAAATAGCCCTCTGCTTCCTCAACATACTCATGGAGAGCTGGATCTTCTTTAACAGAGGATGGTGCATTCTTAATTGTTTCAATTAGTGTATCAATTGCTTCTAAAATGTCTATACCTCTAGCCTTATGATGAGGCAACTTCACTGAATGGCTTTTCCGGTGTGGTTTATCATTGCTTAGTGTCATATGTAATTTTTTTACATTCTTTAGCGATTCCACTAGACTAGCCAAGGCTCCATTCGTTAGCTCATCAAAACTCTTACTTTCTTCCCTGGTAGTTGCTTCTTCTACCTGAACTGAAATGGCGCCCAGTGTGTTTCCAGGAGTTGCATCTTCAGAAATCAGAACAACAGACTCACTTGTCTCACTTTGGAGACTTTCTGAAGGACTTGCATTAGAATGCAGGATGACAGATGCAGTTGCATCACTTCTGAGCTTCCAAAAGGCTGTTGTAGTTGGAGTAACTTTTTTGATCAAAGCAATTGTTTTTGACTGCCCACTACTTTTGGGGTTCACATTCACCCAAACAGTGTCCATTGCTACAGATGGAGAAGATGCTATATTGGATACCAAAATAGTTGGTGGTTGTTCAGTTGACAGTACAATTTCTGTTGGGATATTTTTTACCACATCTTGCAAAAGATTCACAAGATCATTCAAAGTCTGCTCTTCCTTTTCTGCTGCAATTTCACCTGTGTTGGAAGATTCTGTAAAGCAATAAGTAAACCATGTAAATGATATCTTGTTTATTTTTTTGTCTTCTGTAAAAGAAACAGCTTTTATGAACATGTCTACACTGCTACATAGTACAATTTGAGATGAGATGGCTTAGTTTATGGCCCAACTAGATATGTATTTTATTTTTTATTTATCAGCTTGTAAGCTGTCTCAAAGCAACTATGGATGCCTATTATCTCACTATTTCAGTAATAACCATTCCTAGTTTAAATTCAGATGAAATTACTCAACTTCTGTTACGTTTTTATAGCTTGGCTGTATTTCCTGCTACCAGGAGGGTTGGTCCGTGCTCTCTTGGAGGACAGTCCAGGTCATCCCCGCTCCCACTGCCTGGTTTCCCACTTTTGCACAGCACGCTGGCTTGCGAAATAACTCTGATGTGGGACTCCTGGATGTCAGCCGCAGAAAGGGAAGATGGGCAGAGGAATGCTGCTGGGTAATGGCAGAAAATGAATCTTTTATTTCTTGGAAGACAGGAAAGATGGGCATGAACTGGGAAATGGAAAGAGGGCAAGTGTGGCTGGCAGCAGTTGGTGCATGCACCAAATACGACGGTCCCAAGAACATGGGACGCTTGGCTTGTGCTCCTTTCCGAAAGATTCACTTCCTGACTTGGCCACTCCACAGTCCAAGAGAAGCCCAGTCACCACACACACACACACACACACACACACACACACACCCAGGCCTCTTCTCTTGCCCTTCTTTGGATTAAGGTCCTGCCAGGATCCCATGGAATATTCCTCAGCCGTTTGGCTCCGTGTAGTCCTCGCCCGGTTCTGTTCCCTGCAAACCCCCCAAACCTGTGAACGCAATGCTTTTACTGATCACGTGGCTGACTGTAGACACTTAACCAAGCTAACACCATGTTTAACCACTGCATGGACTGTTAGTATAAAAAATAGTAGATGCCTAGCATGGCGTAGGCTGTATCTGGGAATGAATGTGGGGCAGAGATACTGAGGAGTTCACGGGAAAAGCATTTCGGAGGCTGACGAGCTAGTTTCTCACACAGCTTGTTTTGCGCCCATGATTAATGAACGCTCAGCGTGTTAGTTATAAAAGCTTTACAAACCTGCCCTTAGCACAGATGTGCCATGGCAGAACACAGCATACATACCTGGTGTCTATCACATTGCGTGTTTACTCTTGTAAGCATTTACTTTTAATAAAGCTTGTGATGCTCCCACTAGCTTTCACCCTCTTCCTTGGAAATCTCTCATGGATGCTGCCCCCTGGAGGGCATTTACATTTACATTTGGGGAAACCACAACCCTGGTTCACCCCGTATTTCCAGAGATCTCCTTTTCCTGACCCTCACCTTCACAAACATATTACAAAATAAGTGTATGCATTAAAAAATGAATAACGACTATAAAATAGACTTAACTTTATCGGAGGGATCGCCTCCCCCCAATCTCCTCAGCCCACCCCACAAGATCCGGCAGGGAAGGCACGCTACGTGCTCCCTCGGCCGGGGACGTGCATCGGGTGGTCCCAGGAGGGGGCCTTCTCTGCCATGGCCCACTCCTTGGGGGACCTTCTCCCCCAAGGCCAGACTCGCCCCTTCCCTCAAGACCTGGTTGTGCCATCAGGCCTGGGGGTCTCTGGGAACTGGAGACATTCTTAGATGGCTGCGCTGTAACTGATATTCTGCTCTCTCCGTGGGGTTTGTATATTTTAAAATTTTTGATAATGTTTCATTTTAATAATCACTTTTTATCTTTTTACAATGTTAACTTATGCAAAGACTGGAAGGAAGGAGCCAAAAGAGCTAGTGCCATGACAACAGGCCAGTTGAGACAACAGAAAGCTGTTCTGAGAAGACTTTAAAATGACTGTGCATCAAGTAACTTTGAACGCATAATGGGAAAACAAAAGAATTCTTACGCTGGGCTTCGGCACTGTCTGTTTCCTCTGATATAATCTCCGCAGCTGCAGTTGGTTGCACAGATATCTGTTGAAAGAAAAAAATGAATGTGATTTGTGATTTGACAATGGGCATCCAAGGCCAGCCCCAATTTCTTTCAATACTGGTACAGATGACCACCTCTCCCCACAAATGGAACAGCTACAATACACGCTTAGAGTTGGTCCAGGAGTTCTCCTGGCTGTGAGCAGAAGTGCCTTTCCTGTCCAGGCTGGGATGGTACACCTTTTTTGAGATCAGGATTCCTCAATTCATTCAACCTGTATCTTGTCTGGATTAAGCCACAGGGGACTTGTCTTTTCTTCTCCTAAACTGCTCCAGACACCAATTCAGAACTTTTGCTGACTTCTCAGAAAAGGAGAGAGATCCACAGCATGAAGACCAAACACACGAGTGAGCTAATCCAACCACCTCACTGTTAAAAAGTGCAATGAATACAAAGGAACCATATGGCATCTCTTAACTGGAAGCCCCCTGAGCACTACTTTCACAAACAATGTCCCAAATTCATCCCTTGAAGATGTCCTGGAAGAACAGCATGGCTGAAAGCTTCAGAAACAGTTGAGCAGCCAGCACAAGCAAAAGGCTGCATTCCCTGCCTCATTTCCTGGTGCAACTCATGGATTTGGGTAACGTGTTTCTGTCTCCTACAGCAGAATGAAGTGGGTCTTGGGAGTTGGTTTCACCAGAAAGCCTGACACATTCCTCTTCAGAGAATCTTGACCTGCACAGGCATTCTCCCAAACAGTCATTAGAGTAGAATAACTTTTAGCCACAGTGCAGCTTGTTTGGTTTTACCTTAAGAATACTGTGGGAATCCAGACACTGTGATTTCTAAGCTATAATTTAAGGCTTAATATCAACAAGCTATACCTTAGTGCAATGGGTGAATGCAGCCTGTTTGTGAGTGAGAAATGGAGCACGTATTTTTAGGTCCACAGAGCATTTGGTGTGTGAGCAGGCCACCGGAGAAGTAGGATGGACCTGGATGCGGTTCCTGTCAATACAATACCCACCACCACGCAGAAGGCACACAGAATTTAGTGGTTCTAAAAAACTGTTCCCCATTCTTGCTGGCACAGAAAAATATACATCAAATCATTTGTATTTACTGTCCAGATCAGAAAAAAGATTTTATAAATTTACAGTATCAGAAATACAACCCATTTCCTGTATCTTGAAACTAACATTACCTCCACTTCTTTAACATTTTCATAACGGTGTGTCACACCTAAAAAAACCAGAAAGCGTAAAGAAAGAAAGAAAGAAACAAGAAGAATAGAATTAGTCTCATAGTACAACATTTGATTTTCAACTAATTTTATATTATGGCAGTTCTTTTCTTCATTTTTTTATTTAAAAAATAATGAATGATGTTTTGTATCCACTGCCACCATCCCTTTGAAATAACTTGAGCAAATCCATATGTAAATTTAGGGGAGCATTCTAACGTAATTCCACTGAGTTACAATCTTGGCCGAGCACCGATGGCCATGTTAGGAGAATGGCTAAACTGCTGTTTCAAAACAAACTGAGCCAATAAAAAACCGATCTCAAAAACCTAACCAGCCTTGAGCTGGTCTGCATTTGGATGGGAAGTCAGAACATACTCCCCAAAGGCAGAGGCAAACAACTTCACTCCTGATCCCAAGAGAGTGGAATGGATGCATCCAGTTCCCCGCCCTGCTCCACCTGTTTAGTACCAAGAAGAAACAAAATGGAATGAATTTCCCTTCTTTCCTTCCCAATTTGAAGGAGGAAAAATGAATAAAGGTTTTGATGAAAAATTAAGGAAGATCCTAGCACAGTCAACCAAAACATCAAAACTAGGGTAAGTGCTCCCGCGTCTTCATGTAATAGGAGTACCACCCTGAAAAACCATGCATGTACAGGTGAAGACTAAAGATATGACGTGCATATAAAGAAAAAACAGCTGCAAAAATTGTAGTAAAAAGGACTGAGGAACGGTTAATATAAAAAGAGGCAGAGAAAATGCAGAGTGATTTGACAGCAATACGAAGTTATTTTGGAAGTGGGTGAAAAAGGCTAAACAAAGAGCCTCCAGGAATTATAGGAATTAAGTCATGTCATTTGGGAGAAATCTGAAGTGAAACAAGGAGTATTTTCAAGCTTTGAATGGGAATGACAAGGGGAGTAGAAGAGTGAAATTGAAATGAAAATGTTAGTGATTACAGCCCTGTTTCAAACAGCTTTGGGAAAGACTGGGGGTAGGAAATGCTGATGTGGAAGCATTCATAGTGTGTGTGTGTGTAAATGTTACGGCTTGCATATTTATGTGTGAATTACAGCACAAACCATTTAGCACATATTTCATTTTAAAATCATTAATTTCTCAATGTATATTCAGAAGAAAATTCCATTAAGCATAGTTGGATTTATTCTCTGGAATTCAGGAAGAGAATTGTAGTCTGAATGTCATTTGCTAATTACATCTCACAGGATTCTAGAAGAATCCATCCTTTCTCTCAAGGAGTATCACCTTCGGGTGCCATAGGGACAAGCCTTCTCAGCTGCTGCCCCCATTCCTGGTTCCCACCAAGCTGGTTTTCAGGAAAGGCACCGAAGCCCGACCTTCCCTGAGAACCTCGGAATGGGGAGGTAACAAGGGGCCCCTGCTATTAAGGACTGGACGTTGTGGCTCTTCTTCGGGGCCCTCTCGCTTTGTTTCTGCTTGGTTTAGGATGGTTTTTGTATTAATGTTGCAATATTTTTTCTCATGTAAACTGCTTTGAGCCTTGTCGGATTGAGTGGTATGGTAAATAAATACATAAATAACATACAAAAGGCAGCCAGACAGAATGTAAAAACTTATCTTTGTGATATGTGCCTAAGGAAAGCGATGAGGAAAAATTGGACAAGCATGGCTTTATGCTGGGCTGGACGTGGGCAGACAAGGTATTTCCTCTCAGTAGGTGACTGAGAAATATACGATCGTGAGAAGGAAAGTTTATAATGTACTTGTTCATTTAGAGAAAGCATTTAACAGCGAATGGGCTGAATTGTGCAATGTTTTGAGTTGATGGTTGGCTACTGCATGAGTAAGAGTGGGGTGGGGTGGAAGTCGAACATGACCGAAAATAAAAGAAATGCTTAGCACACGGTTCAAACTGAAGCAAGAAGCAAGAAAAAGATGTGTGATGTTCCCTTGGTTATTTCATAGAATTGTGGAAATACGTAGAGAGAATATTTGTGGTGAGCTTTGAGGTTAGGGCCACGCCATGAACATGCATGTATTTCTGCATGCGCAAATGCTGCTGGCTGAGAACCCGAAAGAGCTGCAGCAAAGAGCGGGACCTCAACAGAAACATAGTGGTAATACCGGCTGTTCTGTGAGGAATTGCTACTGAGAGAAGCAAGAATGGCTGCGTACAACCGCTTTGTTGCAGGAAAGCGAGAGGAGAAAAACTAAGGTAACCGGGGCTGTGGAAATGGGGTTCTTTAGATTTTGGGCGTGCGGGGCCCACCGAGAGGGCGGAGGGGCAAGAACGAACGGATGAGCGGATGAACGCAGACTAAATACAGAATGAGCGGGCAGCGGGAGAGAAGTACTCCGAAGTGGGCTGTCCACGGAGAGAACGACGGAGCATCTGGCTGAAAAACAAGCGCGCGAAGGAAGGAAGGCCTCTCGCAGCCCCAGCCATCCGGGCCGCCGTTAGACTCGGCGCCCGCGCCGCCGCCCGCCTTGATCCCC